CAAAATTTATCAAAATGATTTAATTTTACCAAATGATGATGTTGATTAAAAATAAATAGAATATTCCAATCCCAGTTATAATTTTGCTTTTTGAAGCAAGGATGTTTCTCTTGTGTTATAATTTTCAATTTCATCGCCAAGTAAATCAATAAATAGATTAGTTAGATACTCCACAACTGTGAGCAAAAGCATGGTGCAAGATATGTATCATCATGTAAAAACCAAGCTCCAAGAGCTCTATTATCCTCTAATAAAAAAAGAATTTAAATTAAATTATTTAGTATAGTTATTATAATCATCATTTCAATGAAATACAATTATTACCTGCAAGGGATTATTTACAAGGTCAAAAAGAATCTATCTGGAACTAATTTTCCGAGACCTATCCTAACAGTATGAAATGCACATATTTTTGAAGCAAATAAAAGATTGTCTATTCATAATATCATGAAGATCTTGGAGGATTGTGCTCAATTTGCTGTGAATTTGGCTATGAAGTTCTTGATGATTTAAAGAGAGATAACATCAAATGTGGTGTTTGATATTGATGATTTAATTTCTTCAGGTTTTAAGAACCTTTCATTTAAATGGTATTAAGTTTATGAGTTTTGATCAAAACCGGTTGATCTAAATTGAAATTGACAAACATTTTTATTATTATATTTTATTTTTATTTACTAATTTTTTTTATTTATCATTATAAATGTGATATGAGCTTTGAATTAGAAATAAATAATGATGAACCATGCAACTCAAAATTGCATAAATTATTGTTTAATCTTTGCCTTTGGAATATGTTTAAAATATTCACAACTTTATGAAATTTTCATAAACTAGATGCATATTTGCCAGAACAGACATATTTACATTCTCTTATCGATGTGTGTATTCCAAAATATAAAGTAAGGCAGTTTAAATAACATAAATTTCTTTACAAGATTTACGTTCAATTAATGGATAATGGCGGTTTAATTTATGTTTTCAATGTAATGAAAAAAGAAAACCCGGAAATTTTTCGGAAAATAAACTTTTCCCTTGATTTTTAGGACATGTCACACAACTACTATGCTGGTCACAACGAAAAATATTCTTTTGCCATTACTATTATTATTATTAACTATTATTATTATTACTATTACTATCTCTATCTTAACTATCAAACTTTTAAACTTGTAACTACTTTTAATTTGACCATAGATTGTTTAATTGGATTTATCAACTGTACAAACTTTTATTTAAACATCATGTATGCAGCAACTACTTCAAATCATGAGAAACAAGCAGAGTAAGTAGGGAAAATTACGTCTTTTCGTTTTTTTTTTGTGGAAGAAAAGCATTTTTATTAAAAAGAAAGCATCGAAATCTGTAATTTAGAACCCAAACTACCACTGAAAATAGATGGCCACCTGATTTGAGGTACGTCCAGGGTATGATGATAATTATAATTATCATCATAAATATTTCTTTTTCATTGATTATGATTATAATTTTTATTAATAGGGAATACCTGAGAAAAAGTTTTGATGTTGTTTCCCCGGACAACACTGATGCTGTTGAAAGAGAACTTAAAATTTTGATTGAAGAAAAAATTAGAATGAACCAAATGTGGACCACTGATTGGAAAAACATGGAATTACCTCCAAGCTGTTACACACCAAGGTAAATTTGGTTATTGTTAATTTGGTTTTAACATTTGAAAAAAAAAAATTAAAACCAAATCTTCTATTAATTAGTCCAAATAAAGATAATAAACGAAGAGGGTATATGTTTTTCAGATATAATTTAATAGTTACTGAATATTGTTAATAGATTTTATTTAATCAATTCTAACTCTTCTAGTAGATCACCAGAACAAGATATAGATGACAATGATATTAATGAACTTGACAAAAGAGAGAAACGTGCAAAAAGATTTCAAGCACATGATAGAATGAATAAATTACGCTGGGAACCTAAGGAACCAGTAAAGTTTTTAGAAATTAATAATAACAAATTTTGATTTGTTTTGATTATTTTTTATAAAAAAAGTTTTTTACAAATGTAATGTAGAAATTAGATGATATAAATATGGAACAAACTATTGTTGGAACTTGTCAACAACTTGAAAAACAATATTTACGTTTAACATCAGTGAGTATTTATTATATATTCAGTAAGACTTTTTGTAAGTATTCAATTTCTAGTCCGTTAGATACACTTAAATTTGTCATTATCAGGCACCAGATCCTTCAACAGTAAGGCCATTACGTGTCCTAAAGAAAACACTTGAAGTTTTAAAAAGTAAATGGACGGGAGGAAATAATTACACATACATTTGTGATCAATTTAAATCTTTACGTCAAGATTTAACGGTTGGCCATTAATTTTTTTTTTTTTTTAAAAAAAAAAAAATTAGTTGATAAAAAAAAAATTTTATATATATATATAATGAATCCAAGGTTCAACGTATACAAGATGAGTTTACGGTTAGAGTATATGAAACGCATGCTCGTATAGCATTAGAAAAGGTTAATATTATTTGATATTATATATATTTTTGAAATATTTTTAAATTTGTTATATTTGGATACTTGTGATATTTATTTTCACTAGGGCGATGTGGGTGAGTATAATCAATGTCAAACACAACTAAAGGAACTTTACAGATTAAACATTCCAGGTCAGATAATGGAGTTCATGGCATATAGACTTCTTTACTTTGTATACACAAGAAATCGTTCAGGTTGATATTTGTTTATGTTTATATTACTTATATATTATTACAGATTCTTTTTCAACGTTGTGATTAAATAAAATAATTACAATTATTTAGATATTAATGCATTAATAGCTGAACTTACTGATGAAATGAAAGAAAACAAAGCAATTAAGCATGCATTAGATGTCAGGTCAGCATTGGCTACATCGAATTATCACAAATTCTTTGATTTGTATTTAAAGGCACCTTATATGGGAGCATATTTGATGGACCTTTTTGTTGAAAGAGAAAGAATTTCTGCTTTAAAAATTTTATGCAAATCGTAAGTAATGCTTATTTTTTAAAAAAAAATTTTTTTTATCTGTATATTAAATATATATTTTTTTAATTCACAGATTTAGACCAAATTTGGATTTAGAGTTTATACGTTCTGAATTAGCCTTTGAAAATAAAGAACAATGTATAAAATTTCTTTCAGATCATAATGCCTCTCAATATATTATATCAAATAGCACATTAGAGACTAAAGGTGCACAAAAACCAATTGAAGAATATAGTAAAAAATTTGAAAAAGTTGATATCAAAGGACAGATTTAAAATTAAGAGAATCAATTAATTTTTCCAGGTTATAACCTTGATTATATTTGTAAATGTTTACAAAATGAATCTTGTTCAAATTCCAATAAAATTGTAATGATGATAAGTACTGCTGATAACAAGTAAACCTTATTACACTAAATCAGGAAGATCCAAATCCTCCCTATAGCTAATTGTGGCTTCATAGAAAGT